CAAATGTTCTTTTGCAAAACAGGCTTTGATTTTAATTGCTTATTCTCAAGATACTTTAGAATATTTTTAGAATTTCCTTTGGCTGGCATTTTGAGTTCACATTATTACTGAAAAGTAGAGAAGGTTGTTGATGTTAACACATCTCTCCATCATTTTGCAGCTTCCCTAATTGCCCAGGCTTCCTAAACTGAAAAGACCTCCAAACAGGTATTCTAGCACAACATCTTCTCTTGGGATTTTATTGAAGACTGCATAACAAAATGAAGAAGAAAAAAAAAACATTTACTCAAACCTTTTGACCACTCTACAACTAAAGTAAATGCCAGAAGCCGGGACAATTTCACACATTTGTGAAATGTGGGCGCAACAAAAGCACTTCATTTCATAACCTGGTCTAAGTCAAAAGATTGACATCGCTTGAAAACCTTTGTTGCTAGACACCAAAGGACAGAGGATTTCCCTTGAAACACATGGTTGTCAACAACATGAACAACAGAAATGAGGAAGTGACAAAAGAGGCAATAAATGTACTGGCTGTGTTTGTCTAAGGAGAACATAGGGAAGCCTGGGCAGGGGTATAATAATACCTTGATCATTTTGGAAATACATTGTTTGGGCCTTGTCATGATACAAAAGTGTCTCATTCTACTTTTGTTTGTTAATCAGAGATTTGGACAACTTAAATATAAATGTAGGACATGTAAAATTCCAAACAAGTTGAAAGCTATGCTTGAATCTGAAAAGTATAAAGAAACAGTTTCTAAAGTATAGCTCTTCTGCTGATGAAAAATATTAAACAATAGTTACTACTTTGTAATGTTATGTTGGATGTCAACATTTAATTGCAAAGGAATATCCAACAGAAAAGCAAATTCAATAACAATACTCATATCCTTCTTTTAACTTTCAATAATTACTACCATTTTTTCTGATAGTTGTGAGCCTTTAATGGCTGCATTGCAGCTAAAAATTGAAGATCTAGTCTTGCATATCTTTTATTTCTATTCTGAACTATTATACACAAGTTAAAAAATCAGATCCTTGTTTTAAATCGGAGACCTGATCAATACAGCTTTATTACACTTGTGGCTTCACTTTCCTTCCAAGGATTTCACACACATGCTTTCCTCCATGTGAGAGAGGCTACTTTGAGTGGGGTGATATTTGCAAAGTTTCATAGCTAAAATGGGCTTTACCACTAGTTTACCATATCGAGAGCTTATGCGCTGGAGACAAATTCCTTGTGTGTCCATTCACACTTGGCCAATAAAGAATTCTATTCTATTCTAAATATAAGTTTCTCCAAAAGCAGACTTTCTGGAGACAGTGAAAATAGCTAGTGCTTTTAATATTTACTATTTATGCAACATTCTTGAGAATAGCCAAAAAAGATCCATTCATAGATATTATCACACAAGCTTTTAAAATCCTTCTTAAACATACACATATTCATGAATCTGCCTAATATCACTACAAAAAATTACAGATTAGTTAAATTTAATTTACCAATTTTGAAAGAAAAACTTGGTTTCCTAAACACCTTCATTCCTCTGGTTCCTTTGCTCAATCAAATATTTATTTTAAAACTTAGAGTCAGTTCTACTACTTGTCAATCAATAAATCTAAATGCTTGTTTCTCTACTAAGGACAAATTTCCAAAGCTAACTACTGTGAGTCTCATTATTTCATTAAAATATCTCCTCTTTAATCCAATTTGTCGTATAAACAGCTGTGGTTAATCAGTGATAATACAAATTTATTAAGTTCACCATTAGCCTCTCAATTTCACTACCAATATATAGTGATGGCCATACAACTAAATAGCTTAGAAAAAATTATGATGGATAAAACAATCAAAACAACTAGTCGTGACAGCTATATATGATTTCTTGTAATTGAAGAACTATTCTTCTGAATATCAATTGCTGAGAAACATAAGTGGAGTAATGCAACTGTATTTAGGTCTTGTTGATTTCTAATAGGCACTAGTTCGCTATTATGAGAATCCAACACTGGGCAAGACAAAAATTTAATCGAATCCACCCTAATTTTTCATATGGATCACGTAAAATCACATATCAAAACAAATCCTGATTTTAATATAAAATATCTTCCAGATGCACTTTGTTCAATGCACCCAAGTATCTTAAAATGCCTGGATAATGAGAATGGCAATTCCATTTTATTTGCATTTAAAAAAGGATAAATGTTGAAGTAAGCAACAATTATTCTGTGGATGGACAACCAGTAAATGGGATTTGAATGTGGACTGACATGGTAAGATATAAAAAAATGCAGATGTGAAGAAGGGAAATAATTCCAGACTGCATCACTGCTGGTGTCACTATGACGTCTGCTACTGTCAAACCAAGTATGTAATTTATGGTTGTAGACACAAAACAACTGCTCAACAATTGATGCAAAACTCAGCTTTAGTTTTGTTGCATAAATTAAACCTTTTACATTGTCCCGATTGCCTAGATGCAACTGGACAACAATGAATTTTATTTTAAAATCTTGAGAGATTGTAGGCAACATGTCACTTTAACTTCAGAAACAAGATCATTTAAGATTGTAATAGATATTCCAAAAGGCTTTTCTTCAGCCAAACAGAATGACTCAGCACTGTTTTCATTTTATTCACTGAGAAACCATTTAAGGAATAGCTGAAACACTCCATTCTACATTATTCACACAACACTGAATATCTAGTGAACAAATATACAACTAGAAAAGGAAAGACTGATATCTTCTATGTAGGAATACCTCTAAACACTTCATGCATTAAAGGACACAGTCAAATTAATTGAAGAACTTCCCTACACCCCCACCCTCTGGAAATGAGCAATGAAGAGAAATAAGAAATTTGGAAAATTATAACCCTAATCATCAGAATTATAGCTTGTTTTAATGTAAAGTGCACACAAAATCTTCTGTTCTTCAAGAATTTATTCTACTTTTAAGTTGCAAGATACGAAGACATTTCTTGTTTAAGCAATGACAAACTTGATCTATAAGCTTTAGAAGTCTGCAGTTCAAGGTGGATTGATTTTAATGGATTTGTTTCAGACATTTGATAGCCAAAATGAGTAAGAAGGGGAAAGGTCCTATAAACCTACAAGCAAAGCAGGATTTTTGCTTGTATGGTTTGATTAAAAAAGTTTTTGAATAGCTTATGAGATTACAGTTTAGTCAATGAAATCTAACTCCTCTAAAAGTGCTGATGACATCCATATGAATACTAAATAATTGCAGTAAAATTAATATTTTTTAACATTACTTTCATACAAAAAGGGATTTATGGCAGTGGTGAAATTCAATTTTTTTTACTACCTGTTCGGTGGGCGTGGCTTGGTGGGTATGGCAGGGGGAGGATACTGCAAATTCTCCATTCCCATCCCATTCTGTGGCCAGTCAGAGGTGGCTTTTGCCAGTTCTCTGAACTACTCAAAATTTCCGCTACCAGTTCTCTTGTCAGAACCTGCTGAATTTCACCCCTGCTTTATGGTCAGATAGCTAACTTCTCCATTTTTACAATAAGCAAACTGACAATAGAAATAAAGGAGCAAAGAAGACTGTGAAAAATTATATATCCCTGAATAAGATTAAACTTTTACCTCATTTTTGAGGGGTTTGGTATTTTTTTATTTGTCTCCCTTTAATTTCTTCTAGAAGGCTAACTCTGATGTTATTATATGGAGCGCTCCAGTCTGCATTATCCTAGTGTTCCCTAAAAAGTTCTTCCAAAAAAGCAAGATTCTAATTGCAAAACACTGATGTTAAACAAGTAGTTAAACTATTCATTTGGATTGAGCTTCATTACAGCAGCACAGGGCACCTTAGAAAGCTAGAATTACTTTTTGTAAAGATACTTATAAGGTAAGAGTTAGATTACCAGACATACAGAACAGAGAAAACATCTCACTGGAACAATAGGGATAAACCCAAGAACAACAGGTAAGAGAAAACTCTACTTTTCCAACCAAATGCAGAGAGACAGCTAAAGGCAGATACTGAGCCTTGACCCAGAAACCTATGTTCTTTTAAGGAATTTGAGGGAATGGGAAATGAATCAGGGGCAGCCTAAAGGAGATTATAGCAGTAGGTAAGTCTCTAATCACCGCTGACCCTTAATGATCTTTTATTGTAGGTGATATTCTCTCTTAAATGAAAGCTAGGGAAATAATGAACTGGTGACACTACACAGACGAGAAACACTTCCTGATCTAGTGTCCCAGCACCAGGAACGTATATATACTTTCTAAAAGCAGCTTATATCCTGAAGTTTGGAAGTGTAAAAAGGAAAAGAAAAGATTGGCTTATTCATGGACAGAAATAAAGATAAATCTCTTCTGAACAGGAATGGATAGAAAGAACAAAAGAGTATCAATCAGTACACACTACTCAGCTTCAACTCCTAACAGGATGCTTTACACATTTCCATTGCTCATCCTTAAATGGTATGTGAAATGCTTTTAAAAAAACTTTTGCTTTGCTTATTCCATACTAGGTCTCACACACACTTTTATCCCAATAATCTCAGAAAGCCTTAGTCTAGCCAAAGATTTTAAAAAAAAAATGTAAATTGTCAATGCAATCCAAGGCAGTACCAAGCAGAGCCAGGAAACTTTCTGATTGGAAAAGGAAACCCTTAGAAACCACTTCAGATACAACCAACGTAAGATTGTAAAAAAAAAAAAAAAAAAAAAAAAAGAGGGAGAAAAAACTCTTCCAAAAGGAACCAATACTACTACTACTACTACTGTTATGAATAATTGCTGTTGCATTCATCATCATCATCATCATCATCATCATCATCATCATCATCATCATCATCATCATCATCATCATCATCATCTCCAACACAGAGGAAAGGGAAAGCAGCGGGCTACATCTTGCTAGAAAGCAAACAGCAGGGAAGGATTTAATGCTTGCTGGGAGAGCGCCATCTCCCTGTCCTGTGCACTGTGGCCTGTTGCTTAATTGTTATGGCTACTCACACTGCTGTTGTGGCCCGACCAGTGCACCATGGCTTGGTTATGCGCCGAATCTCCAGTGAGAGCAAAGGTCGTGCTTGTCAATTTGAATTCTTCCTGTCGGAAGCGCGTGGCTTTTGCCAGCAGTTGCTCCGACGCTGCCCGCGCCCTGCTCTCCAGCGGCGCGTCTCTTTCAGCCGGAGCTCCTCTGGGTTTCCGACTCGACCGCCTAGTCCGATCGTGCCGGTTATTCTTTCTTCGCCGGCTCAGGAGCGTCGATCCGGACCTCCGGCTGGCCTCCGAACTGGCCCCTCGACGCCCTCCGCTTCTCGCTGGAAACAGAGCGGCAGCCGAGGCTAACTTTTTGCGGGTGGGCCTGCCAACATCCGGAGGAGAGTGTCTGGGTCGGATCGGGGAAAATTCTTGCAGATCGCCGGTTACTTTGCTCGGTCCCATCCAACCCTTTGATCCCATGCCGACACGTTTCTCCCCGACAGAAGCAGCCGAGATCGGACTGCCGGCATCCGCCGCCTCTTGCCTGCGATTCGCGGGCTCCTCACCTCTTTTATCCACAGGTATCTCTCCGGCCCCATCGCCTCCTCGTGCCGTCCTCAAGTTCATTAATAATCCTCGGGCTGGTGGCTGCAGCTGTAGCTGCACCTGCCAGCGGCACGATCGGCAAGTGATGTCTGCTCCGATAAAGCCAAAAGTAAGGATCAAAAGCCAGGTCCGAGCGGCGAGCAAAGCGAAATGCCACCCTGGGTACCAGCTAGTAACTTTTCCCATTTCCCGGAAAGCGGTTGGGGAAAACAAAAAAAGCAACTCTGATTTGAGGAAAAGGGCAAATGAACAAAAACAGAGCGCAAATCGAAAGGGGGACGCTGCAGATGTTTTAATTGTTTTGAATTATTATTTTTATAATAAAAGATGCCAATAACTCCACTGAAGTTTCCGACTCTGGCGTATTTGAAGCAGATAGAAAAAGGGAAAACGGTGCTCTTTCTTTTTTTCTTTCTTTCTCTTTCTTTTTTCTCTTTCGGATTCCCGCCCCCCCCCCACCACCACCACAAGACTGGCGTTGCTGATCGGGCTTTTGATGGAAGGGAAAGCCACAACCACGGGGGGAGGAGCTGAATTAAAGAGAACGAGCAAGGGAGAGGGCGCGCCTCCCGCCAACNTTCTCAAAGTTTACTTCTGGAGTGTTGGCTATTCCTGCCAGCTTGGTGTCATCTGAAAATTTGATGACTTCTCCATTTATTACCTCATCCAAATCATTGATGAAGATGTTGAAGAGTACTGGGCCTAAAACAGAGCCTTGGGATACTCCCTGCATACTTCCCTCCGTGTACATGCAGTTCCATTGAGGACTACATGATGAGTGCAGTTAGTCAGCCTATTATGAATCCATCTAGTGGCGATGCTGTCTTACCCACATTCTTCTACTTTACCTAGTAGTAGGTTATGGTCTACCTTATCAAATGCCTTACTGAAGTCCAAGTAAACTATGTCGATGGCATTCCTCTGGTCCACTAATTTTGTCACTTTGTCAAAGAACGCAATAAGATTAGTCTGGCATGATCTGATGCAGTAACAACATTAAAATTCAACAGTGCTTAAGAGTTTCAAAATGCATTTCTATCTCTTATGTTAACAGCATTCAGTATTGTGCTTTACTGTACCAATATAATTAAGAGAAATATTATACACTTTTACCAATTTCATTTTTAGCAGCCCGGGCTGTCTAGATTATGGTGTCTCAGTAACTAAGCCTCTAACACCCCAGGGCTGAGAAGCATAGATTAGTATAAATGTATTCTGTTTTATTATCCATATTAATAGTATAGTATTTCAATCTACTGGGTATAGGGAAATTAACAGACAGGTTGATGGATACTTTCCTTTTAGAAAGATCCATTCAGAATATTGTTACCAACTTTGATTATAATTTTTTTTAATACACAAAGGCCTTTTTTTACATAACATTTTTCTCTCCTCTCCCAGTCATAACTTTGACTAATTTATATACTTTTTAAGTGCAAATTCTTTGTAATCTCTTTTAGCATAATTTCTCTTAAGTGCTTTGTTGCATACATTTTCCAAGTTTAAACCTGATTTAAATTTGTAACACCCTCTTTTTGTACATGACTTACCCATTCTTTTTCAGATGTATTACTTTCATGTTATTTTTTTCCTTTGTGGATTTTGGATCAGACAAGATGGAGAGTAGTGCTAATATATCTATTTGGGCAGATTTTTCAAACTGTTCCCCTTAGAATTCTATGGCAGGTTTTGCCATTCCCACTAATGGATAATGCCCATTATACTCAGCATGCACTAGGTTTGGGCATTGGAGTGTGACTTCTAAACCCAGCATTCCTGGCTTATGCGTAATATTTTGGAGCTTTCAGTTTTTGGCTCTAAAATAGCTTAGAACAAAGTTGTTTCTTCAAAAATCAGAAATAACTTGGTTTATTTGAATTGCCCTGGTCTCCAAATACCATTATGAGCTTCTGATCTATCACAGAGCTTGCAAAATATGATTTAAGTCAAAGAGCTTGAAGTTGAGGTAGATTTATGAATCAACAAGCCAGAAATTTATATTGGGTGTGGATCTTAATCTAAGCCAGAAAAAAGATAATTCTTGGCCTCTTTCTAGAGGATTTTTTTGAGCTCTCCGAGTTCATCTTCAATCCAATGTTTTTCTGGCAGATCTCAGCTCTGTAACTAATAAAACAATGTCAGGTGTATAGAATCAGTGACCTAATTTACACATGTTATTGAGAATTAAGAAGAAAGCTTGTTTACCACAGAGTATACATAGCCTTCACTGTGTGTCTGTTTGGCTCAAAAACCTTTTTAACAGTTGTATTTCACCAATGGTGTTTTATGACCTGAATTTCTGCAGTCTGTGGTTGTGACTGAAAATCAGTTTTAGGAGTGCTGAAAGTGCTATGACAGAAATGTAATTTCCCTTGATGAACATCTTCTACTCTAGACTCGAACAAACTTTGAAAATTTTTGAAATTTTAAACCTACCTTTTGCAATGTTAGGCTACTTTTATAATCAAAGAATGTAGGAAGAGCCTATGTCTTTGTGTTCTGATTCCTCTGTTGAATATCTGAAGGGCAGGAGTATGATCCTGTTGAAAGGAATTGTGCCATGAAAAAAATCTTTATATGTAGTATCTTCAAGCAAATTATGTAGTGTGGGACAATTCTATTCAGGATGCCAGCCACGATTGACATGATTTCATGGGATAGCTAAGTTCAGCTTTGTATATCCTAATAGCACTTACTTATATAGGGCTTTATAGCCCTCTCTAAGTGGCTTACAGAGTCACTGTATTGCCCCCAACAATCTGGATCGTCATTTTATTGACTTTGGAAGGATGGAAGGCTGAGTCAATTTTGAGCCCCGTGAGATTCGAACTGCTAAATTGCGGCCAGTTGGCAATCAGCAGAAGTAGCCTGCAATACTGCATTCTAACCATGCGCCACCACAACTCTTTTCGTGCAACTCTAACAGTAATGTCTTTTTTTTATTTCAGTGATTTTCTAGAAGTGTGACTCCACTAAGTGTGTCTCCTACACACTCATCCTTCAAATTCAGGTTGCCCTAGAACAGTGGGTCTCAACCTTCCTAATGCCGCGACCCTTTAATACAGTTCTTCATGTTGTGGTGACCCCCAACCATAAAATTATTTTATGTTTTCTGTATTTTTTTGAAAATATGTGTTTTCCTATGGTCTTAGGCGAACCCCTGTGAAAGGGTCGTTCGACTCCCAAAGGGGTCCCGACCCACAGGTTGAGAACCGCTGCCCTAGAATATCTTCTTGTTTACAGAAAATAAAGCTAATCTGAAAAAGAGAGGAGACTCAACTAATATGCCTTTTCCTGGATCATGTCATTAAACAACAACAACAACAACTGAGAAACAGTGTGTTATGATGACTAAGGTCCTAGACTGGGAGTGAAAAGATGGCAAATTTTATCCTCAGCTCCCTGAATCATTTTGGATCAATCGTTAGCTTGAGGAAAAATGGAAGAGGAAATATGGGTGTATCAAGGAGAAGTCAAACCTTCATCTATTTTGTTTAAAATGTTACTTTATTATATGAAGATATGTTTTTCTCCATGTAGATACATTTTCCATGGGGAGAAATGCCCAGACACTCTCCCCTTGGCTTTCAGACTAAACTATTGCCATTCAAAAAAACAGTGCTTTGTTTGCCTTAGTCTTTTCTCCAGGTATGTGTTGTATGGCTATCCAGCTTCTTTGGCATATGTGTATTTTTTCCAGGAAAACAAATTTTTTTATCCTGCGAGTGATTTTAGAATTTGTTTTGGATCAGTTTCCCATTTCCCCATGATGTTATCCAGTGGAGACAAGATATGTAAAACATGAATTATTCTTTTTTCCCCCCAAAGAGGTTTTCCTTGCACTTTACCTTTATGTAGTTCTGTAAATATCCTAATAGGCTTAATGTTTTAAAAAAACTGTACTCATGCACAACTGCCCATAAAACTATGGTGGTTTTTTTAAAAAAAATAACTTGAAATGGCAGCCAAAGAAAATTAAAATTGTGGAATCCCTTTGCAGGCTGAATTTATGCAAAATCAAACCACACTAAACAACTTGAAATGGCAGAATTTCATTTATTATTCTGCCAACCTTTGAACATGACTTCTATTGTAGTTTTACAGGTAGTCTGAATATGTGCTTATATGACCTTTCCAGCTTTGCCTATTTCCTCTGTAGTGAAAACTAACGTCATGCAGCATTGGTTTTTCTTTGCAAACACTTTTATTTCTTTTGTTTGCAAAAACAATGCTAGTAAGACGCTGTTCGGTTTTTATGTCATTAACCAGTTTTTTCTATGGTGCTTTCTCTCCAGGGACTCCTGTTTGGTTCTTTGTGAAAATTGCTCCAATTCGAAATGAACAGGACAAAGTTGTTTTGTTTCTTTGCACTTTCAGTGACATCACAGCTTTCAAACAGCCTATTGAGGATGACTCATGCAAAGGTTTGCTATTTACATTTTGTCTGTTGCATATGAAATATAATTTGTTTTGCATTTCAAAATGGAATAATTCTCTGTCGTAGATGTTTTGGTTTCTGTTAAGAGTCTTGAGTGAAGCTAGTGCAAACTGACTCTAAAGGCTGAAACGTTTTTTGAAATACATAGAAAACTACTGCTCCTGGCCTGTACTATATATGATAATAATAATAACAACATGTCAAGGCCACGCCAACCAGGCCTCCAATAGTTCTTTCTTTTCTTTCAGATCTTAACAATTGATGGAACCAATGGCAAAGCCATTTCTGATGATATTTCTTGCAGATCAAGGAACTGCAGCCTTGATCAGCAGGTTTAAAAGCTATCAGCTGAGGCAACAGTGCATTATCCTTTTCAAGTTACATCTCCATGTCTTGGACCTTGAGATTGTTTTGGAAATTGCAGAATTACATTTCTTGGTCATTTCCTAGAACAGATCATATCCCAATCCAATGCATTTCCCTTGTGACTATATTTGTGTTTCTGTTGGGCTATGCATCCCTTGAAACCCCATATAATATTACTTTCTTTCTTGCAGTTTTTGTTTGTAAGGAGGATCAATTATGAGATAACTGAAAACAACTGAGATAATTAGATAATTTGCTATGTAGACTAGAAACTGAGAGACCATGAGTTCCAGTCCGGCCTTAGGGCATTAAATCCAGCTGAGTGACTTTGGGTCAGTCACGCTTTCTCAGCCCAACCCATCTTACAGAGTTGTTGTTCTGGGAAAAAATATTCTCCTTTATTAATAAATTCATTTTGTAAATGCAACACTTCTATTTTGAAAAATGGTTTCTAAAGATTATGCCCACCGCAAATCTCCCATCAATGAGTAATCCAGGTCAAATTACACACTCCTCCGTATTCCATCGGCCAGCCAGTGCCGGCTGGCAACTACAAGGAGGAGGGCCTTCTCAGTAGTAGCCCC